CTTCCTTCCTTCCTTCCTTCCTTCCTTCCTTCCTTCCTTTCTTCCACAACAACCTCTGTGAGTAGAAGGTTCCCCACTGGGAACCCAACTGGAAGTGGTTTACTCTAAAGATTCAATATAGTGACACAGAGGTCAGAAATGAAATACTGAGGACAAGCAGGCCAGCTTAAGTATGTCAACACTCATAACATTGACATCCTTTGGTTCTAGAAATACATGCTTGAACACAGATTTTATCTATCTATTTATTTATTTATTTTTCTTTGGTTTTAGGTCTGGATTGTTTCAAACAACGGGACCTCATGGGGTCTTTGGAACCCATGTTCAGAGGAGAAATGTAGTGAATTATCATATGCGGGAAAAGGTATGGTTGCTCATTTTTTGGAGCTTGAAAAAGATTTCAACCTTTTTTTCAGGCTACCTAAGTTTAATCTTTTCTCTCTGTTTATAAATATTTGGACAGATGCCCTCAAATCCGTGCAAGCCTTCATGATTCTGGCCATCATCTTCTCTGTCATTTCTCTTATTGTTTTCGTATTCCAACTCTTCACCATGGAGAAGGGAAACCGGTTCTTCCTCTCAGGTGGCGTCATGCTGGTCTGCTGTAAGTGTCCTAGAGTCAGCCTCTTTACCTTAAAATATAAACATTTACAGTAAGGAAAGCAGTAGTCTAGTATGAGATTTCAGCTATATGAAATGGTCCTTTCTAATTTTTTCTTTTTGGGAACCTTTAATTAAACTAAAGGCCAAGCACCTGCAGCTGCCTTGGTTCTCCATAAGAGGTTGCTACTAAGCAGTTGCTACACATTGCAACTGAAATACTTCTGAAAAAGCAACCTATTGCCTTAATTCTACCTAATTACCTACTTAATTCAACCTAATGCTTAATTCGTGAGTAGCGCTCTCATGGGTTGCAAAAAGGGGAAAGTTGTAGCCACAACATAGAACAGATATCATTATTGCCATCCTCATAATCATTATCATCATTATCATTCTACTATCAATATTACCCAACTCATCCAGCTGGGCCTGAAGTCTGAATAGCTGTTGCTGCACATTCCTGCCCAATCAGATCCTGCCCTGACATGCTGTGGATATAAGCAACACTCAGAGTCAGGGTGGGAAAGGTGTTCTTTGGGTTGCTTTAGATTTCTGATCGTTTATGCTTATTGTCCTACCTAGACAATTCAGGAGTTTCTTTGCAGAGCTCAACTGTAGGTCTGAGGCCAACTTGGGGTATGAGTTGGTGATCTAAATTTCAGTTTTAAATATTCTCAAATAATTTATTATGCATAACTATGAAGAAAGTGTGAATTTAAAATCACAAAAATTCCTTTGATGACTTGCCCTGTATGATAAGACAAAAACTTAAAAGTAAGGCTTGTGTTTCTGACTTTAATATTGGTCTCTCTCTCTCTCTCCCACTCCCTCTCTCTCCCTTCTCACCCCCTCTTCCCTACAGGGCTATGCATTCTGATTGGAGTTTCCATCTACACTGATAAATATGGGAAGGGTACTTCAAATTTGGATCACCACGGATATTCCTTTATTTTGGCTTGGATCTGCTTCTGCTTTAGCTTCATTATTGGTGTCCTCTATCTCGTCCTCAGAAAGAAATAAGGCTGTTGGAATTTTTCTGTGGGGTTTGGGGGAGGGGGCTGGGAGGGGAAAACTGTTGAAACTGGGAGGGAAGTGGGAGTTGCTCTGCTAGAAGAACCATATAAAGGGTGGGGGGGGAGGATGGGGTGGGTATGGGAGGGGGAAGAAGCAGACTGATGACTGAGACAAATCACTACCACCACACACCCTACCTTCAAGAGAAAGCAGGTTGTGAGGAGAAGCTGCTCTAATCTTCCCCGGATTCCCCACAAACCACCAGAGTTGTTCTCCTGCTGTTCTAAACTCTGTTGGACTTGCCAGACATCATGCCATTGACTTCCTAGCATGGTGGAGAAGCAGTGAAGTTCTCACTCCTGAGGAATCAAGAAAGCCCTCAGACCTTTTTCACCCAGTTAAAATAGCGGTACAAGTTCCTGGCAATCACCGCGGTGTTATTTTTGTGCTGAATGTGCTAAATCTGGAAGCAACTCCTCCCTTCCTACTCAGAGCAAAACATTTAAACCCCTGTTACAAAGTGGCCCTAAACCCAGCTGTTGGCAACCACCTGATAATCTCTGTTATGATTAGCCTGAGTAATCAGAAAAAGTAAGTCAGAGAAAGTGTGTTAGCACCTAGTTCATTCAATACCTGACACATAGGAAGTGTTAATAAACGCTTGCAGATTGAGGCAGAGATTGCAGGGGGAGGACAAAGTAAGCAGTGTGGCTGGTTAGGAGGTTATAGAGAATAGAAGATTTCATACTCAAGAGGTTCCTCAAAGGTCCTCCAATGATCCATCCCCTCCACAGAGAGCAGCTGATCAAAACGCACATTCACCCCACATAGAGGCCTCTCACCACTCAAGTTTGCTGGACCCTTTGCCTAGATTCTGAGGCTAAGAGCTTCTGTAAAGCCGTTAATTAACTACAAAGTCTACAGTGGGACCAAGGGATTGTCTTATAAAGAGTGCCAAGTCTCCGGAACCGTACTTCTAGGATCTTTTTTGATGCTGAACTCAATTTTTTAGTTGCCTGCATATGAGCAGAGATTTTTCCTACTTGCATGATGGGAGGGCAGTAAACACAACTGTTTATAATCCCCACATTAGGAACAACAGTGGAAGTGTGGTCTAATTACCCAGACAAGGATATGCTAGTTGGGGTTTTATTACTCCGTTCTAGCCTTGATTCCTTATATGATATTGGGGTATGTTACTTCATTTCTCTGAGGCTCAGCTTCTCATATTTGAGGACCCAGGATCTTAGATCTCTTCCTGGCTTTGGAGATAATCTAATCTGGCCTTATTATACAGGAAACTGGGCTCAAAGAATTTAGGTTTGTCAAATGGTCAATAACCACCCAGATTCACCTTAGAATGGGGCTTCTTAATCCTTTTTTGTGTCATGGATCCCTTTGACAGTCAGGTGAAGTTCAGAGACCCCCTACTCAGAATAATCCTAGTTTCATAATTGAAAGAAAAGCTAAATTTTATTTAGAGATTAGTGAAAATAAAGATGATTTTTTCACCCCCATCCAAGTTCAAAGAGTCCCTAAAAACAATCCAAATACCTTTTGGGAAGTTAAGAACCTCTACCTTATAGGGTAGTGAGGCTTAATTATTAAGAAAGCTAATTCAATTAAAGTTAAATTAAAGCAACAGAAAAGACCTTGGGTGAAAGGTGCTGCTTAATTGTAAAGTATTATTATGTCATAGCTCAGTTATGAGAACAGGTTGCTGGCTTCCTTACTTCCTACCAGAAAGCAGAACATTCCCCCAAGACAAGTAAAACTTTAGTTAATAGGTAGTTAAGTTCTTTTTATAAAGTGACTCTTATGGTACCTGATCAGATCATAACTGAACTGCTCTGCTGCCATAGGGGCATTAATATATAGGATTGAGTTATTCTGTTCCATCTGGTCAACTAGCCGTTGCTTTCCTCCCCTTGGTAGGCAGAGGGTAAAGTGGGGTTCTTAAAGGGACAGCCAGAGCAGCTATTTAAAGCCATCTCAGACCCTGGGTTTCTTTTCCTGATGTTTCCCCTCTCCATGTGAAGGGAACAGTCTTGGGGAAGAATTTCAGACATCTTTCCCTTCTAACTTAACCTCTACTCTCCCAATATCTCCTGTACTTTTTTTCCCTGAATTATGTGGGGTTGTTCTGCCATGATTTCTGATATTTATGTAAAAGTAGTATTACAAAGCAGTACTGGTGTATATTCTAGTTCTATGTATATGCTGGGGGCAGGGCACCAGATTACCTGAGGGTGGTGGCCAGGTTGGCTTGGAAAATTGTGGACTCAAAAAATGTTTTAATGGACAAGAAAAGTTCAGGCAAGTAGTAAAGGCTTTTATAACTTCCAAAACACTTATGCCATGAGTTAACCAGGGAGATGTTCGTGACACTTATACAAGTCAAAATACGACTTGGAGTGAACGTCATATTCTCCTCTTCTTTTTGTGTGACATTTCCTTCTCATGTAATGTGTATTACATTGGTAGGCATGTCCTAGTACTGTACTTGGCTTTTTTTCATGGAATAAGATATTTCATATATAGTAATTGTAAATATTTTGATACAAATGTTTATAACTTTAAGGTTAAAAAATAGATTCTGATTCCCTTCACTGCATGAACTTTGTCTCTTCATTCTTTGAAAATGTTCGAAAGTGTGAATGATAGAAATATACAACCCCAGATATTGAGTTGAAATTTATTTGGTGCTTGGTTGAGATATGAAAGGGAGAGCTTTGGGCCTTAATGTCATTGTGTTGCCTCAAAAAATATCCTTCTGGAGCCTAAGCTATTCTTTGGTTATCAATTAGGCAATTTTAGAAGGTGCGATAAGCTTCAATTTATGGAATGTAATCATGTAATGTAATCAATCTTGCTTTGAAAAAGATCTCCTCTAAAAACTGAGACTTCCTAAACAGACACATTAGAATTGATTATTTGCTTTACAAATAAAACAGCCCTTTACTTGCCCAAGTGACTTACCACAAGTTTCCCTTGAAATAACTAGTTCCCATAGTGCATTCCAAGTACAAATTAATTTGTAAGTTTGATTATATATAATTTTTCAGGAACACATCTCATATATAAAATGGTGGTATCTTTTTCCCACTGAGGAAAAAATAGAATTTATATCATAGACCAATAGTGAAGGGAAAGAATAAGCTGCTGTCATGTTTATGTCAACAAAATTAATGTGATGAGACTGACTTCAATGCGTATGAAATAGTCTTCTATCTCTTAATACCCTTTGGAGACCTTTCCCCATGAGTATGCTGGTAAATATTTAACAAAAGGCTTTGAAAAAAATAGGATGCATTTTGTCCTGCTTTATCCACACTTTTAAGTTTCATCTAATTATTGACCCATTCTCTATAAATTTAATTCTAGACAATAAACAAAACAATAAATCAAGCCCGATTTGTAGTGTTTGCCAATTTCTGAGCTCACACTGATTTAACAACAGGCTGTCATAGTTGATTAGAACTGACTTCAGCCCACCTCTGCCTATATTTCTTAGACATGTTTTCTCCTGGTCTTTAGCATCTCTCTCTCTCCCTTTCCCTCTTGCTCTCCCTCTCTCCCTGTCTCTCTCCTTTCTCTCTTATGCCTTTCCCTCCCTTTCTTGATCCCTCTATGACATCCAAGTCAAGAACTCTTCTCTTCATGATATCCTGGAATATTCCTATTGAGCACCCCCCCACCCATATTCTATTTTCTTCAATATTCTATTTTCTTCAATATTCACCTATATAACATCCTATCTTCTCTCAGAGCCACAGGAAACAAAAGGTTGAAATAAACAGGCATTACTTAGAATGGAGAAATCCCAAGAGTTTCTGAGACATTAGTACTAAAGTTTTTCTTAATATTTACATATTTGATTTTACAAAGGGATGAATGGCAAAATCTCTAGGTTTATAGTTTCTTCAGGCAGTGAAATCCCCCCTCTAACAGGGAAGGCACTCTCCCACCTTCCCCAATGACTTCAGCACCTGAATCTCAGTCTTCCTCTCCAATCTAAGTTCTGTCATTATTCAATGCAATTTCAATATTCACCATGATGACCCTTCACACACCACGGTCTCCTTATTCACTAACCATCTCAATTCCCATAAGCTCCATCTCTACTCTGCCTCAGTCACCTATAAGGTATAAATTGCCTAGATCAAAAATGTCAAACAGTGGCCCAATGCAGAAGGCAAAACTGAACCATATTAAAAGGGAATTGGTTAATATTTAACAAAATAAATAAAAATACAATTAAACACAGATAATGTTAATAAATGGTTTTCTAAGTCCATTATGCAGCCCATGGGGATCCTTATATACGGTTTAGTAGTTTTCATTTTTTATTTAAGTTTGACACCACTGGCTTAGGTCACACCATCACCCAAATTCTGTCACTTCCAAGATGCTGGATTATGAAATTCCCCTTTCTGATTACCATTTCTTTCCCTTGCCTTATCCTTATGAACCTGCTCTTCGCTCTGCTTCTGATATCAGTCCTTTAATCTCTCTCTATTATCTTAATTCAGTGTGCCTACTCTGCTTTCATTTTCTCCTTTCAGAATTTTGATTATATAGTCGGCAATTTCAACAAGGCACTTCCCCATACCCTTGAATTCTTCTTCACTCCCTTGCCCTTCTCATGTTCCTCCTTTACTAATCCATAATTCTGACATACTCTCAGAGTCTTCCATCTTTGTTTCTACTCCCAAGTAACTGAGTACTGCTTGAGGAAATCACAGAATCAAACTGACAGAGCCCATTACAAATTCCACTTCAATGGGCCATAGTTGCTGAATGGAAATTCTTTTACTCATTTTTAATTCTGATTGATTCAGTATGATATTATTCCAAACCTCTTTTGTCAGGCTTCCAATTCCACCTTTTACCCACTGAACTTCAGCAGAACATATCAATCCATCAACAAGCATTTATTAAATGATTACCATGTGCCAGGCACCACACAAAGTGCTAGGGATTTTTTTTTTAAAGAGGGAAACAATTCATGCTTTCAACTTGTACAACTTGTACATATATATGTTTGTAT